TTATCTCGCTTAGTCTCTCTCTCTCTCTCTTTTTCTCTCTCCCCTTCTGTTTCTCCATCTCTTCCTCCAGTCCCCTTTCTATTACATTATCCCTTCCTTTCTCCTTCTCCCAGTTCATTCATCGACCACTCCGCCCTACTTCCTTTCCGTGCTCCACGATTTCATCGGGACATCGGTTCCAAAGTAATTAGACATGCCTGTTCATTGACCCGTGCATCCGTGCGCGCATACATTTGTTATTCATTTGCCCGTCCATCCGTCCATCCGTCCACCCCAGGCACACATTCATGCGCCCTTTCACCCATCCGTCCATCCGTCATAAGAACAGCGGCAACAGCGTCCACGTGAGGGGGTAATGCCTTGAGTGGCCCATGAATCGTACCCGCGACAGGCTGAGCAGTGCGCCAAGCAGAGCTCGTTGGCTGTTGAGCGCCGATGTCCGGACGCGGTCGAGTTGCTTGCCAAGCCGGCTCCAATCCCGGTGAAGGGCGTCTTCACGTGATCGATTGGCCGGGCCCGTCCGTGGATTGGGTGGATTGGGAGGGTCGGGAGCGTCCAAGAGGGGGGTGAGGATTAGGTGTGTGTGTGTGTGAGTGTGGGTATCATGGTCGGACCATGAAGCCTCCCAGACTTCATGGCCCCAGTCTTCCTCCTCTTCCTCTTCCTCCTCCTCCTCGTCCTCCTCGTCCTCCTCGTCCTCCTCCTCCTCATCATCATCATCATCCTCCTCCTCCTCCTCTCTCCTTCTCCTCCTCCTCCTCCTCCTCCTCCTCCTCGTCCTGCTCCTCCTCCTGTATCTCCGAACACTGCCGCTTCCCCCAGGGAGGCCCGGTCGGGCCCCACTGGGGGAGTACATGAAAAGACAAAAGTAGGGGCCGAAGCCCCGCTGGAGAGGGGGGAGAGAAAGGAGAAAGACATCCTCATCCTCATCCTCATCATCATCACCATCATCAGCACCATCCTCATCCTCATCCTCATCATCATCACCATCATCATCAGCATCCTCATCCTCATCCTCATCATCACCATCACCATCATCATCATCATCATCATCATCATCATCATCCTCATCATCATCATCAGCATCATCCTCATCACCATCACCATCATCCTCATCCTCATCCTGATCATCATCATCATCATCATCATCATCATCATCATCATCATCATCATCACCATCACCATCACCATCACCATCACCATCAGCATCATCATCATCAGCATCATCATCGTCATCATCATCATCATCGTCATCGTCATCATCATCATCGTCGTCATCGTCATCATCCTCATCCTCATCCTCATCCTCATCCTCACCCTCATCATCATCAGCAGCATCAGCATCAGCATCAGCATCAGCACCAGCATCATCACCATCACCATCATCATCATCATCATCGTCATCATCATCATCCTCATCATCATCCTCATCATCATCCTCATCATCATCCTCATCATCATCATCATCATCATCATCATCATCATCATCATCATCATCAATCATAACCTCAGGAGGAAAGGAAGAAGAGGTGAGAGGTGGCGGCAGCAAGACTTTGGCGTGGCGATAGTGCAGAGGTGGGCGGGGCCCCTGGGGGCCAGATTTTTTTTGGCTTCGGGTCTACTTGCTCCTTGGGGCCAGCGCTCTGGAGAGCGCCCAGGGGCCCCTCGTCTGAGGTGACCTTGTGAACTCCCGCTGGGTTGCGGTTGCGGCGGTGGCGCGTTGCCCTGGCGGCAAGAGGCAGGTTGCCCTGGCGGCAGGAGGCAAGTTGCCCTGGCAGCAGGAGGCAGGTTGCCCTGGCGGCAGAGCTGCCCTGGCGGCAAGGGGCAGGCAGAGGGCTGAGGCAGGCGGTGACAAAATGGAGGGGTCAAGGTCGCCCTGGCTCCACAAGGGGACCGAAAGGGCCCCTTGAGGGCTCGTTTCTTCACCCCTCATTTCGGTCACCGCTCATTGCGACCCGCCCGAGGAGGCCGTCTCCTTCTCGCCCCCCCCCCCCCCATCCCCCCACGTCGCTCGCCGCCGAGTTCACGGCGGGGGGCAGAAAAAGCCTCCCCGACGCCCTGCGAGGCCCGACGGCCCCACGGCAGCACGCCCCGGAGGCAGGGCGGGCAAGGAGGGGGCGGAAGGGGCGAGCGACGGCTCGCAGAGCGGGCCGGCCTCGCGAGGAGACGACGTCGACAACCACAACGACGACGACGACGACGACGACGACGACGACGACGACGACGACGACGACGACGACGACGACGACGACGAGGACGAGGACGAGGACGAGGACGACTCGCGAAGAGAGGCCCCGGCGAGAAGTGAGAAAGTCGAGCGGCTCACGTGGTGACAGAAACCGGCATGCCATGACCCGCCGTAGGCTCCTGTGCTTGGACTCGGGGGCGCAATTCTTTCTTCTCACCCTCCAGCGGAGCCCTGTGGGACGAGGAGGAGGAGGAGGATGAGGAGGAGGAGGAGGTGGAGGAGGAGGAAGAGGAGGAGGAGGAGGAGGAGGAG